AGGAGGTGAAGTTCTCAGGTCTGTTTTCTTCCTCAGGGCCACACATGGTTGAAAGATGATGAAGCAACCCACTGTAAGCAGTGTGAAAAGGAGTTCTCCATTTCCCGGAGAAAGGTATGTAGCGGCCACGTCCGCCCCAGATTCTCCTCTCCGCTTCCCAAAAGCCTGTCTCTGCACTGCAGCTATGCCTGTTGTTCGGCTGGAGGCCCTTGCCCCATGTCCTTTAATGACTGACATGCTTGGAGCAGAGTGGCTTCTCTGTGGAGCTGCTACAAGCGGGTGTACCGGGGCAGTCCTCTGTGTGCAGCAGGACCAGTTACTTGACTGACTCAGCAAACCACCATAGGAAGCTGTAAGGTGTCAAGTCAAAAGAACCTCACTGGGTGAACTGCGCCCTGTCTACCCAGGTAGCCTGCTGCAAGGCTCCAGTAACAAAGAGTCCTGGGTGCCTTTTTGGTCCATGGTAGTGGGACCTTGAACTGCCTCATCAAAGACCAATTGGACAGAGAATGGGCTTGGAAAAGTACATAATCCTGGGCACTTGGGGGGTCACTACACAGGGAAGGTTTACCCCACCAGCCTATCCACGGCTGTGGGCTCACCACCTCTCCATTCCCATCCGTAGCTTTCATCTGTGGGAAAGAGAAAGCCGAAGTGCCAAACTAAGTTCAGTTCAGAATAGGAAATGACCTCCCATTTGTCAAGACTTGCTGAAGGCTGAGGCAGCAGAGTCTGGCCATCCCCCCCATGAACAGTCTTGTGCAGTTTAGCCTAATTGTCTATAGAGCCAGGAGCAGAGGCTATCCAGGCTGAGCTTGGCTCCATCACATGCCCAAAGAACCCAACACAGCCAGGTGTGGTGATGCATGTCTTTAATCCCCACTTTCAGGAAGCAGAGACAGAAGCAAGTTTCATGCCAGCCAGGGGACACATAGTGAGACCTTATCTCCCCACCAAAAGTAAATAAATAAATAAATAAAAAGGGGTTGGGGATTTAGCTCAGTGGTAGAGCGCTTGCCTAGCAAGCGCAAGGCCCTGGGTTCGGTCTTCAGCTCTAGGAAAAAAAAAACAAAAAACAAAAAAACTAGCTCCGTAAGTACCAGATTCTCAGCCCGTTTATAAACCACCACTGTTTGCCCCCCAGTCGGGAGAGGCTATCTGAGAGCATGTTAAGTCTAAGACATGGCCATTAGAGAAGCCAGGCATTACAAAGCAGAGAAGGTGTAGGGTTGCATCTCCCCAGTTGTCTTGATGGCCATTTTCTTGTCTTCCAGCACCACTGCCGAAACTGTGGCCACATTTTCTGCAACACGTGCTCCAGCAACGAGCTGGCCCTGCCCTCCTACCCTAAGCCAGTGCGCGTGTGTGACAGCTGTCACACCCTGCTCCTGCAGCGCTGCTCCTCCACGGCCTCCTGAGGCCAGCAGCCCCACCAGTAGGGACCTTAACCTGTTGACCTCCATCCTCAGAGTGGAGGAAAGCCTCAGGTACAGTGCCAAACTCTGCGTCTCCAGAGACCTGTAAGGGCCCAAGAGAATCACAGGAAAGAATGAAACCCTCACCTGGCTGCCAGCCTCGGATGACAGCGCCAGGGGCATTTGTCCACGGCTCGTGTGGAGCCAGCTCCTCTGGTCTGACACGTCTGTGTCCTCAGTGTGTCCTGGCTTTGGGACAGTGGAACTTCATGATTTTGCTACTGTCACTTCCACTTTTCAAAGGATTAACCTGTTTTGCAGCAGTTGCACCGGTACAGAATCCTTTCTCTTTCCTACCCACATCCCATAGAAACCTTGATTTCTGCAGTGCTTTGAACTCATGGGTCTGTCAGTGTGCCTTGTCTGCTTCAACACCCAGCATTTGCCATCATGCCCCATCAACACCTACCGTTGGCCCTGCAATAAAATCCTTTATTTTTCACTCTTGTACAAAGTGCTGGCCTCCAGCTTGCCTGTGGAGGGCGTAGCGAGGCCTGGGGAGGAGGGCCTGCTGTGTTTGAGCTCTTCAGCTGTTGTGTTGCTGGACTCAGGCTGCTCCACCCAGGTGGACCAAGGCCAGGGTAAAGGACCTCAAGCCTGTCACCAAAGTCCAAGTGCGTATTTCCCCAGATGCCTGACTTGCAGTGGGGTTACATCCTCATTGCGATCATGTAGGAATGAGCCAAGAATGGCCACTGTACACCTCACTTAGCATGCCTTAAAAGTGCTTAGGACATTGAGCTTGCAAATAGGCAGACTCAGCCAACAGAGCTCCTTTTTGTTTTGAGACCAGTCTCAAATAGCCTGGCCTGGTCTCAAATTCAAATGCAGCCAAGGCTGGCCTTGAACTGATCCCTTTGCCTCCACCTCCCAAGTACTGGAATTACAAGCATGTGCCACCATATCCAGCAAAACATACAAAGCCTATTTTATAGGTGTTGGATTATCTCAATAATTTCCTGAAAGCTGGCTATGCAAGTACTTCTACACCATGGCAAAGCTCAGCCACACCTCAGAACCATCTAGCTACATGGGACTTGAAGTGCTAGCACAGATGTCTCTGGCCATGCAGACTGTGCCATCTTCTCAGGGTCCCACCCAAGTGCAAGTTCACATACCCAACCCACTTACGCCAATGACCTCAGACTTCATTGGGCAGGCATGGGACGGAGGCAGACATGTACCAGAGTGCAAGGTTAGATGGCAGCTTCCTAGAATGAGTTCTCTCTGCCATGTGACTTCCAGGAATCAAACACCTTTACTTAATGAGCCATCTTGCTGGCCTGAGACTCTGAAGGCTGAAATAAGTATTGTAACATCCGTCAGACAAGGCAGTCCACCTGTCTTCCAGCCCTTGTACTTTTCCACCCTTCTAGACCTAATACCTTGTTCACAGTTGACACCTTACTTCTCACCAATTCCCTGACCAGGCTTACTGTCCTGGTTTCCCTGGTTTACTGTCCAGATTCTGCCCCAAACCAACCCAAGCCTATCTCACCTTCCCCAACTTCGTCAGTACTGGTTCTGGTGCTTTACTTTCAGCAAGGTTCCCCATATTCTGTAGATGAGAAACGAGGATGTTGTTTTCATCTGCCTTTCCCCAACACCCATTTACCTGAAGTCCAACAGCAAGGACTGCAGCCAGGATTAAAACCAGGCCTGAGCAGCTCCAACCCGTGTTCTAAACTGCAGGCAGTGAAAAGGGCCAAAGGAGTCTACTCCTTCCCTGCCTGAGCCCCTTACTAACCTCACACAGGACCAATTTCCCACTAAGTTCACATCCCACTGCACTGCCTCCAAACTGTTCTAGTTAAGTCTACCCAAGTTACCCAAGTTACGCTCCAGCTTTCTGGGAACATTAGTCAAGGCACTTCACTTCTGAGTGTCACATCTTTCATCTGCACACAAGAGGAAGCAAGGTAACACCTATTTTCATGCTGCTGTTCAGTAAAAGCGCACATCAAGTCCCACCATCTGGCATACACATGTTCAGGGTTTTTGGTTTTTTTTTTTCTCCATCATCCCCTTTGTCCTCCCAACTTCAACTCTACCCACCAAGTAACACAATATTCAGTAAATTATTCATAACGGTTCCAGGTCCCAAGTCACCAGTATTTAGCTGCCAAGTCTGGGTAATGCTTCAGTCCCTGGTTTGATACATAACCTTCCAGCCTGAACAAAGGAACGTGTGCTCTACAGTAGTGCTGTTCAAGCATAAATGTAGAGAGACAGATCGTGGCAGACTAGACAGATTTTATAACGTTTGTATGCAAAGGCCACAGGGATCTATCTGCCTACCTCTGCTCTGCTTTCCTAGTGCTTGGACTAGAGGGCATGTGCTACGACGCCTAGCACTGAACTTTAAAGTTCATTTTTCTTGTCTATGAGTATACCATCTTGCAAATGGAGGTCAGAGGACACTTAAAGGAATTGGCTCTGCTTCTACCAGTCATAGCTACAGAGTAAGATCCTGTCTCCAAGTTCTTGGGGTTTTTTATTTTTTCCCAAGGTAGGGTTTCTCCCAGGGTGGTGGTGGCAGTCTTTAATCCCAGCACTAGGGAGGCAGAGCAGGATTTGAGTTTGAAGCCAGCATAGTCTATAAAGCTAGTTCCATGATAGCCAGGGATACAGAAACTTTTTTTCAGTGTTTTGTCTCTAGTCCCTTATCAGCCCCAACTGTCCTGGAACTTGCTCTGTAGACCAGGCTGGTCTCAAACTCACAATCCACCTGCCTCTGCCTCCCAAGCACTGTTAAAGGAATGAGCCACAACTGCCAAGGTTACTAATGGCACCTTATTTCCAAGTGGATGTGGCTGGACACACCTTGCATATTCCAAAAGCATCTGAGGGCTAAGGGTATAGCTTTGTGGTAGACCTTCAGCCAGGTGTAAGGTCCTGAGTGGGGAGGGATGCAGCATACACAGAACCAGCACTCAGGAGGCTGGAGACCAGCCTGGGGATTGGAAACCATCTCAAGAAAAACTCCAACCTGTAAGAAAACATTTATGGATACCCTAGAGGACATCACAGTGCCTTTTGAATAAGGAGTTACCCCTTTGCTCTGGCACTTGTTCCAGCCATGCCTGAAAGGCCCCCCCCCCTTTTTTTTGTTTTTCAAGACAGGGTTTCTCTGTGTAGCTTTGGTGCCTGTCCTGGATCTCGCTCTGCAGATCCACCTGGCTCTGCCTCCGAAATGCTGGGATTAAAGGCATGTGCCACCGCCACCACCACCTGGCTGAAAGCCTATTAAGACATACAGTGAGTACTGGTCCTTGTGAGCCTTGTACTCAGTGGAGTAAGTTATAGGCTGTTCAGACAAGATCCAGTGCAGCCAGGCTCAAACTAAGACCGAACGAACAGCCAGGTTTACTTTCAGTTTACTTGCACTGGAAGAAGTCTGAAGACATCTAAACAGCAGCCTCAGCCACCCAGCCTTTTTGTCATAGAGACATGGACCTATACCCCAGGCAGGAATAAAACACCAACCAAGTCTACATGACACCAAAGCACAGACAAGAAAAAGTGTAGCTTTTAAAAGGAAGATTTATTTGACAAGGTTCACTTAGCGCAATACACCTAAAAGGAAATCACAATACAATGAAAGACTTAAATCAAGGCCTCAGAATTTCATACAAACACCAAGACCAAAAATCCTAAAGTAAATGATATTGCGTCTCAAAATTACTCCATTAACTTAAAAAAAAGGGGGGAAAAAAAGCTTTAAACTCACGTGCCTTACAGGTTTATCAAATGAAATTAGAACAAACATGCCAAATGTTTCACTTTAATTGTAGACGCAGCTCCTATATTGAGTTTTACAAAAAAGCATGTCTTTTCAACATGCACCAACAGTGTTCAATGTAATGTATGTATAAGAGCAACATTCAACATAATTCAACTGCTTTAACCTAAATACACTTACTGCTTACGTACATCCTACAGTAACTAGAGAAAAGCTGGGAATTGTTTAACAGTTACAGTTCACTCAACTTCACTGTATCATCCTAGGTGACTATGTTCAACATTGAACTGTAGTCCTTTGAGTGATGTCAATGTTCACTTAAGAGGAGGCATCAATCACAAGGCTAGATTGCAAAACTGTTAAACTGAAGTTTAAAAAAAAAAAAAATGACCAAGAGTCAGTGATCAAAATCAATTACATTCCCCATCCACCACTCATACTGGACATGCTAGACATCCCTCCCATTCCATTCACGCCCATAGATGCACGGCTTCCGCTACTGTAGTAGCTGCTGTTCACTGCTCCTTGGCTACCTGCAAAGAAATCCATTTGACAAGTTAGGAATGGTGTCAAATAATCAATTAAATAAAATAACATTCCAAGAAAAAGTTTAAAAGGTATACGAGTGCAAATGGCTGCTGTCCAATTGGCGAGAAGCATGTTTAGGAAAAGGGAATCCCGACTCCAAACAAATCTCAGTTAAACCCTTTTCTCTGCAGTACCAACTTGCCAGACTCTTGTGCTACCATTTTAAGTGGATTCTTCAGGATCAACGTGGAAATTTTAAGTTTAAAGGAAAACTAGTGTTTTTCAAAAATTGCAAAATTACTTCCAGTTTTTAAAGCTAAAAAAAAAGCATTTAAAAAAATTTACCATAAACATGTACCATGTGTCCATCGAATGGTGTGCATGAATAGGGAGCACAGGGGAAGTCTTTTGCTTTGCCTATTCATGGTGGGCAAGAAGTGAGAGGACAAAAGTTGGACTAAAGGCAACTCACTGTGCCCAAAATGGCAGCCTCCATGGAATCAAGTCAGAGTCACTGACTACTATATAAAGTGTTATCACAATATTATCAATATTTGCTATTGGGAATTTAAATTATATTTTTTGAGAAAATATTTACCTATGCAATGTTTGATTGAAAATCACTGGAGTTTTCCTGTAAAACTTGGTCTGCAAAAGGATTTTGTAGGGTAAGACTATAATACCAAAATCACCATTCTTTAGACCAATTGAAAAAAAATAAAACCATCCCTAGGTTAACCGACTAATAAAATACTGTCCTGAACCCAACCACCAATATTTAAAAATATTACCCTCCATCAAAAATTTAATGCTACAGCAGAAAAGCAAACTAATATTTTAATAAATGAACATAGTTGATTTCTGGCTTGACAGTGTTCCAAAATTGCAATGACTAGAACACATACATTCCCCTCCTCCCAGTAACTGTTTCTACAAATTACACTATTAAGAATTATAATAAAAAATATCCATTTAATTACCCACTCTCTTTAAAAAAAGAAGCCTGTAATATCCCCAACTAAAACCAACCTAAAACTTACTCTAGGTATATAAAAAAAACCAAACTTACCATATCCACTCATGCTGCTCTGGCCGCCGTAGCCACCTCCATAACCACCACTCAGCTGCTGGCTGGCTGGGCCACCGTAACTGGACTGGTTTGCTGTTAAGTTAAGAGAACATTAGAGCTTTGCTCTTTATCCAATGTGGTACCTGGTGGTACCGGGCTTGTAATTCTATGTCTACAATTTTCCAGTCTTCATCTTATATTACTGTCTCCTGCCTACTATCTATGACAAGACTATGACCAGATTAACCGTTATATTCATTCATCATCTGAGCTAGTCAATTGTTTATAAGCATTGAGGACTAAATACACATGATTCACTAAATGGAACCATTTTTTGATGACCTTATGAAACTTTAGGGGGTTTCCCCCCTTAGCTTGATATGTATTTAGATATGTCACTATACAAGTATCAGGTAACACCTAGTTAATCATGCCCAACTAATTATGTTCCCAAAATAAAATTTTTATTCCTGTATTTTTGCTAAGTATTTTAGACTTACAATTTAGACATTGTAACATTCACTGTAACACTGTAAAACACATTCAATTCAATAATTCCCTCCCCCAAAGAAAAGTACTTATATTTACTTTAAGTAATCTACCCTAAGCAGCTTTGTTATTTACAAGATTTTAGTAATTAATACAGTAATTACAAAATTTGCTCAAATTTCTTTGCCTAATTCTGTTTACTAACTTAAGATAACTTAAAATTATTATGCTAACAAACTCTTATGCTAATTACTTATATAATAAGCTATCTACTTATACAGATATAAATGTTTTGGTTTTTAAAAAAACTAACGATATTTACACAAGCCCATGCCTCCCATCATTTGGCTACCATAAGCACCACCGCTTGCTCCTGCTGTAGAATTCAAGAAGAGTTCTACATATCTGTGTTCTGAAATGAGAGAAAAGGCATACAAGGTTAGCTTAAAAAAAAGACACTAAAGTGATATTTACACAAACCCATGCCTCCTAGCATTTGGCTACCGTAAGCACCACCGCTTGCTCCTGCTGTAGAATTCAAGAAGAGTTCTACATATCTGTGTTCTGAAATGAGAAAAAAAAAGTTTGAAAATGTTTGTTGGTAAAAGAAAACAAGCAATTTAAAAGTAATTTGTGAATCACAAATGTTTTGACAAAAGAAAAATTCCCATGTTAAGAACTCTCTAGCTTTCTTTTCAAAGATTTATTTATTTATTTATTTATTTATTATGTATACAGTGTTCTGCCTGTGTGCCAGATCTCATTACAGATGGTTGTGAGCCACTATGTGGTTGCTGGGAATTGAACTCAGGACCTCTGAAGAGCAGCCAGTGCTCTTAATCACTGAGCCATCTCTCCAGCCCAAGAACTCTACCTTTCAAAACACTCATCTAAACTACCAATTAAGGACAAACTTATTATGTCCAATCACAAATCCCCAAATAGTTTTAAATACCTAAGCTTTTTTCAATACATCTAAGCTACCCCAATCAAATCTCTCCTATAAATTCTTACTATTAATTCTATCTTCTACTCTAAATGCTAGTCACTGAACTGCCTGAGGTTACAAGTGCTTTAATTACACTTACGCATATTTGCTTTATCTTTTGACATAGCTGCAACAGCATCTTCATGGGTCGCAAACTCGACATCTGCTTCACCAGTTACTCTGCCATCAGGTCCAATCTCAATATGTACTCTCACAGGATTGAGTGGTGAAAAAAACTAAAATACAAGTGATTTCAAAAAAATTAATTTTTAAATCTAAATTTTATTATGATCATCCCACATTTGTACTGCTGTACTGAATTACCTGAGGTGAATTTATCTGAACACTTACATTATAAATGTCATTCTCAGTAGCTCTGTATGGTAATCCCCGCATGTGTACACAGTGTCCTGTTGTACTCTGGAAAGTAGAGCCACCATCCCCATATCTGTGGTCAGACATTCCTGAAAAACAATAATTGAGGTCTAGATGGACAAGTGTGTAAGTACCCTTGAACTGAGAAATTCAATTCTTACCTTACCTCTTCCAAATCTATCCGAACCAAATCCATAGCCATCATTATAGCCATTGTAATCATCATAGCCTCCATAGCCTGAAAGATAAGAAATACAATTAGTTACAAAAAAAAAAAAAAAAAACCCACCTAGACAAAAGAAACTGGTTCAACCTTGCATATAATGGCACATACACACCTCCACCATAAGCACCACGCCTCATCCTCTCAAAACCAGCTCCTCTGCCAATGCTGTTATACCCTCTGCCAGCCCCAGGTCTGTCATAGGGACCTGGCCGCTGCATGGCCATAAGTTTTCGTGGTGGATCATAATGAGTTCTAACTTCAGCTCGACTGCTCTTAAATATTTCAATATACCTAAAGCATTGTCCAAAAGGAAGGGGGATGGGGAGGGGAGAGAAAACATTAGTTCATGTCATACAGTTACTTAGTAGTTATACAAGAAAAACAATTTAGTCATAGCCATGAAACTGACTAATATTTAAAGCCAGATTTCTTACATTTGCATAGGCAATGACCAGAAATTCACTCAAAAGACTATTTATACTTTATAGAAAAAAAAAAAAAAAAAAAAAAAAAAACAACAAACTCCTCTGAGGCAGAGCCCAACCTTAGAGGCAGAGGAGTATTACAAATAAATGGTTTAGGAGGGAAGAATTCCACTCAACTTTCAATATTTCAACTCTTAAATCCTTTGGCAGCATGTATAGCAAGTGGGCTAAAAAGCCAGCCTCCACCAACAGTCTAGCCCACACTACACACTTCTTTTCGCCAATACCCAGCCTATGCTTTTAGTAGGAATCAGCATAGGTAAAAAGCGCATGCTTCAATGAAAAATAGTCACAAGCAAAGAGAATAAAACCTTTTGTGACAATTTCTTGAAAGCTATGCTTATTAATACATATGCAGAATATTTATACAGCAAGAAAGTTTGTTGCATTTCAACTTTAAAAACAAGATCAGAAAGTATCACATTTTCTTATGGTAATATTAATTTCCTATGTGGGTGTTATTACAGCTAAAGACAGGTTTGCATTAATTTTTTTTAAAGCCATAGTCTCTCGACTCTATTGACTGGGGTTAATAATCTAAAGAGTCCTACAAAATTGTAAAGATGGCCCAAATAAACTAGGGATAATTTTAAAACCTAAAATTTAGTTTGAATGAAATACATGAACTATAAAGAATTTATAATTTATAGCAGGTTATCAATTGACTGGGAATGGGAATGGGTTATTTCCTCCTCCTAAGCAGAGAGAATATGGATTTAATTGTTTACCATAAGAAAAGTGACATATCCAACCAACCATCCATCCCCACCTGTGCCCTATTCTTTCCTTGTGTTTCTTTAGAGCCTTTTCAGCTATTTCCTGTGAAGCAAACTGCACGAAGGCCTCCCCCGTACTCCTCCCCTGGAAGTCCACCGGCAATGTTATCCCATTTGGCACGATTTCCAACCCTTCAACCCAAGGACAAATAACCCCAGTAGGGGGGCAATATTAACATCACAAGCCCAGAAATGATTCTTCTTATAGCTTTAAATAAACCAGAATTTTAACTTTAGGTGAATGGTATGCTTTCAACAAGTACTCTTAAAATATGCATTGCAATAATAAGAAGTTCCACTATTAACAAAGTATAACTCAATTCTTAACACACCCAAGGCACAATATATACATTTAAAAAAAAACTTGATACTCCAGAGGGTGAATTAAGAATTAAACAATTAAAAACATTTAATCTATGCAACTTAATAAAATTATACAAAATTTTAAAAAATTTTAAGCATTAAAGTAACAGTTTAAGTAAAACAAGACACCTTTTAACCTCATTATATACTTCAATTCTTTAAGTTATTGGAACTTCAAGCTTAAAATTACACATTTAAACATTAATGTAAAAAAATTGAAAACATTATTTAAGAATCATAATTGACAAACATACAAACTAAACTTTCAACAATAACTATCTACACAGCAATCATGCACTCTTATATGCTCTAATAGTAGTATGATTCACTTCTGGAAATTCCGTCTATGAAAAATCCTTCCCGTGGATACATTCCCAAGCTTACAAAAAGGCCTTAAAGCACTTTCCTAGAAGATATGAAATTATGTTCATATTTAACGTTGACAGATAGCATTCAATTCTCACCAATTTAGATAAAAAACAAAACAGACTTGATTTCAAACTAATAAAATATTGATACATATCTAAGTCAAAGTTCTAATACATATGCTAAATAAAAACCATGAAAGGATTTAATTCCATTTATGACATCAAGAGTATTAATAAAGATTAATAAAGATTTAACATTCTCCTAAACATGCAATCCTATCAGCTTGTCAACATAAAAACATTTAAATACTTTAGGCCCAGAACTTTACAATACTATCTATACTGTTTCTTACTGAGACTATAAGCATTCAACCTACACTTGCGACATCTGACTTCTAACAGGCTAGCTAAGTCAAATTCGTTTCATAAAAATTTACATACAGAGAATTAGACTAATTGATGTATTTCTGGTCCCTTGACTCAAAATAAGTTAACTTACAACAAATACAATAAAGTATAACAATCTAAACTCACACTAATCTAATGTTAAAAGAGCTTACCTTTAACTTGAAGTACTTTGCTAAACAGCAATATGAGGAAGTAGTTAAGATGGTTGAGTAGAATCCTCAAAGGTCTACTCTGAACTACAATACTAAATATAGGCAAAGTTAACACTTTGGAAGTACTTCTAATTTCCACCTTTAAGATGGGCTCAAGTTACTTGAAGGTCTCCAGGAAGAAAATGTGAATTCAACAACAACAACAACAACACATATTTAACAGCCTACTTAAGTAACTAGACTACTCAACTTTTAAGTCTAATACTAAATCATGTCGCCAGAAGCTGCCATACCTCACTGCTCAGCAACAAACAGGACTACATACCTGAGAAAAACTGAACAATTTCTTCCTTGCTACATCCAAAAGGGAGTCCTCTAAGCCGTACAAAGCCATCATTGGCTGTGTCAGGACTATTTGGACCAGTATGCTTCAACACCCAATCCATTTCAACGTTGTTTGACTTGAATACTGAAAGAGGTGCTTAGAATTAGTCAATTAAGTTAGAGATCAAAGTTCAGATTTCCTGGGTTTTTAAATAACTAGGAAGAGCTGCCATAAACTCCCTTAGATGACCATTTTTCCATGCGGTCAAATACCTAAAATTCAGAAGGGGTAAGATCTCTATGTGTTTAAACATTTACTGTTACTAGGGCAATGTAAATCAAACCTTCAACATATCTGTGTCCCATAGTTTCTCTGTCTTTTTTCAAGGCCAATTTGACTTCATCTTCTGATTCAAGTTCAACAAAAGCCTCTCCACTTGGTCTGCCTTCTCTGGTGTAGATGAAACGAATACCTTGGGCCCCATTTTGAATTTTGCAGTCTGAAAAGAAAACAATCGTTAATACAGAATTTAAACCTTAAAAGCATGTACGAATGATACAGATGAAATGCATATTCATGTCACTACAAAACCCACCATGTGTTAAGACTAAATTGACCAAGCATTCGCACCATCAAATTACTGCAGATACATTCCTAATTCATCAAGATAACTCTAAGGAAGTTATAGCCTTGTCTTCAAGTTTCCACTCCACATTTTTTTGTTTGTTTCCTGGAACCTGCTGTGTAGACCAGGCTGGCCTTGAACTCAGAGATGCGCCTGCCTCTACCTCCCAAATGCTGGGATTAAAGGCGTATGCCACCACCGCCCGGTGCACTAAACATCTTTTTTGCAATCTTTTAGAATAATCTCATTGGGCTGGGCGGTGGTGGCGCACGCCTTTAATCCCAGCACTTGGGAGGCAGAGCCAGGCAGATCTCTTGAGTTTGAGGCCAGCCTGGGCTACCAAGTGAGTTCCAGGAAAGGCGCGAAGGTACACAGAGAAACCCTGTCTCGAAAAAAAAGACAAAAAAAATATAAGAAGAATCTCATTGGATCTGGCGACTTCAGTGTTTTCTGGCTTGGCACCAACAGCCACAGGACAATTTCTCATTCAAATCCAAACTCCAGCCCAATACTCACCTGAAAGGGGATCAATGTTAACAACTAATGGCTCCAAGTTACACAGTTCAAGTCAAACTCATTCGGCAACTGCCCCCTGCAATTGCTTCCAATACACATGTTTTACAGGCAGTTTTCTGTTACCACAGCTAAATTCAGATAGTAAGGTCAACACTATAAGTACCTTTTCACAAAACCTTTTCCAAATAAAACTTTCAACTAGTCTTCTCTTACAACAGTGGGAACAAGATTCTGGGAGAAATTATTCAGGAAGCCTATATGTGTTAAAAAAAACAAAAAACTCTACAGTGCTAAAACTTCCTTGGTTTTGAAGTCCTCAATTGTGAAGGGAGCCAGATTATGAAGTAACTAGATCTAGAACACGATTTGATTACCAAATCTAATTACGAAAAATTAACTTTCTGAGTCAGAACGCCCCTTTTCAAATGAATATATACGAAATGCAGTATGGCTTCGAGACAGAATTAATACTATCACTTGTCCAACTGCTTGTTTGCGGGAGGAGAAATAGCATCTTTCCCTATTTAAATTTAAGGAAAAGACAACTTCAGAATGCATGGATTGGTGCTTAGAGGCAGAAAAGACGAAGACGAAAATTTCCACCGGGGCGCCAGCATCCCCAAGGGGAGCAAGGGGGGGGGGGGTCGGATTTCGCAATTACCATTGCGTAACAGCGGGCAGCAGGGCGCGAGCAGCCGGGGGAACGGCTAGTGGCCGCGACCCGCTAGGGGGCGCCCGAGAGGCAGGGCCGCCCCGCCCCAGCCCAGGCGCGGGCCCCGCTGACAACTCCCGCCTCAACTCACCAGAAAAAAAGCGCTGCACCTCGTCCGCGGAGCAGGACCAGGGCAAGCCCCGGACCTTCACCACGAAGCCCTCTCCGCCTTCCGCGCCCAGCATCATCGTCTCTTCGTGGGTCCTGGCGTCGAAACAGACTGCAGGGTGGCGGGGATGGGGGTGGGGGGGGTGTGTTAGGGACACCTCCGAGAAAGAGTCATTTACATGGCCCTCCCACTTCCAGGCGCCCGGCGGGACCGGGGCGCCGCGGTGGGAGCCCCGCCCGTGCAGAGCCCCGAGCCCCGGAGACTCAAGCATGCAACCCGGCCTCTGCGAGCGACCCGATGCCCGAAGCCACCCCGTGTGCCCGGTGTCGAGGGCCCCAAGCTAAGGAGACCCCGGCCTAGAGCCGTGGTGGAGGCAAGGAAATGGCGGCCGCCGCTTCCGCTCCGCCTCCTCAGACACCTCACACAATAGAAGCGGCGCGGCCTGCAGGCCTAGGCGGCGCTGCCACGCCGGCGGGACACTCGCGGCTCCCGGTGGCAGCCTGCGCTTGCCACGGCCCCTCAGGTTATAACCTAGGTTCAGGGACCAGCAATCGTCACAAAAATAGGCGCCGGAGAAGGGCTCTGGCAGCAAACGAAGACGGACCACCACTCACCTCCACACAAAGCCTCGGCGTGGCTGAGGAGAAATGATTAGCGGGCGCCTGCGCAGCCTAAATAAAGCCCTCCGAACAAGCTCTGCGCATGCGCACCCGGTGGCCTGCCCCGCCCACTTGCGTCACACAAAGATTAAACGCATGCGTAATACCAGACAGCGGGCTCTCTCCCGCCGTCAGATTATTGCACGCATGCGTTTGGGCCCAGCCCTCTTCAGAAACTGGCCGAGGTTTTTTCTGCGCCTGCGCCCTTTTGCAACTATTGCGCTGGGCGTCTGAGCGGTTTATCGTTTTACTTCATGCGCATGCGTCTTCCTCCAAACCGTTCTCTAGACATACCCGTCAGAGTGGGGGAGGGGAATGGCGGCGATCATTACCCCCCCCCTTGTAGGGACTGGCTAGGAACCCAGAGTTCTGGTTTGCAGAGGTGGTTGTTCTACCCTTAATCCGCAGCTTTTCACCCGCTCCTGTCAGTTTTGAAAGACAGCGGGGGGGGGGGGGGGAAGGAGCCCCACCCTTTCTCGCCTAAACCGGTGGCAGATAAAGGGCCGGGTGGTGCCAAGCATCTTCCCCATGCCGCCCCGCCCCTGCGCCCAGAGCCGCGGTCACCGCGGGGGGCCTGGGGCGGGTCCCCTTACCTGCCGCTTTGGGGAGGACTCAGCCCCCGTCCCGCACGGGCTGCAAGTGCCCGAGCCAGAGTCTTGCACCCCACTTTGCCCAACGGACTCGCACTCTGCGAACCCCTCGCCCTTCCCTCGCACGCGAAGTGCCCTGTGTGCTGCGCCTCGCGAGTGGAGGCCGAGTCGGCCAGGTGAGCGCAGGACTCCGCCCCGGAGCGCTGCGCCGGACCACCGAGCCTCTTTCCCAGGTGAAGACACCGAGGTCGAGGATGCCCCCGGGTCACCCCGTGTGCGCACACAGCAATAAATGGGTAATGTTACTGAATTCAGGCAGCACGGCAGAAAGCCGATGATGCCCCGAGTCCCCGGATTTGACTATCTGACGCACCCCAGCCAGCCCTAGTAGAAATTGATAATGAGACAGTGTAGGGACGGTGCCACAGTGGGTATCACAATTGGTCAACCTGAGTGCCATCACAAGAGGTTGCAGGCGAAATACGTTTTCCTCCCAAGTGCAATATCGAGGAGACCAAATCCGGTTTGGACAGTTTGATAAAAATGGAGAGTCTTGCACTGGTGGCGCACGCCTTTAATCCCATCACTAGAAAGGCAGAAACAGGTGAATCTCTGAGTTCGAGGCCAGCCTGGTCTATAGCGCGAGTTCCAGGACAGCCAGGGTTACAAAGAAAAACCCTGTCTCCAAACAAACAAACAAACAAACAAAAATGGAGGAATCAAAGGAAAAGTGCGTGGAAATGCGGGCATAACTCGGACCCTTTAAGCCTGAGCAAGGGGCTTAAGTATACTGGAGGGCATCATAAGCCTTCAGCGAGAGAGCAACAGGAGCTGTGTAACATGAAACTTTAGGTGTAAGGGAAACTCAGATGAAACAGAGAGAATAACGGTGCGTGACCTCATCTGCAGAGGATCTAGAGAAGATGGAAAACTCTAGCTAGATCATTGAAAGAGGAGACTCCCCAAGTCTTCCAGCCAGAAGGTTGGTTAAAAGCAAGAACTCAAGCCAAAGAGGATTGCGACTTCAAGATCTGCCTGGGCAAGAGTGAGTTCAAGGCAGCCTGGGAAATTTAGTGAGAACCTGTCTCAAAAAGAAGGCTGGAGAAATCTTAGTGGTAGAGTGCTTGCCTAGTACGTCTCTCCCACATCATGAAACTTCTTGAGACATGAAATAGATTGCCCGCAAAAAAGGACTCTTCAGTTAATTCGCAGCATTTGAGAGCTCTAGTTTTATTATTGGTTTATGATTAGATGATTCGATGGGAGGGAGAGATGCATGCTCTACTACTGAACTACATATTTTTGGAGGTTTTTGTTTTGTTTTGTTTTGTTTTTTGTTTTTTTGTTTTTCGAGACAGGGTTTCTCTGTGTAGCTTTGGTTCCTGTCCTGAATCTCGCTCTGTAGACCAGGCTGGCCTTGAACTCACAGAGATCCACCTGGCTCTGCCTCCTGAGTGCTGTGATTAAAGGCGTGTGCTACCACCGCTGGCCCTGAACTACATCTTGAGACATGCATACCATTTTATGTTTTAATCATCTTTTTCACTTTGTACCGTGGTGTGCCTGTATTTCCATGTACCCGAAATGCTGAGATGGGAGAATCCTTTCAATTTAGGACTTCCAGACCTTGACCTGAGGAGGGTAGAAAATGAGCTGGGCAGTGGTGGTGCTTGCCTTTAATCTCAGCACTCAGGAGGTAGAAGCAGGTGGATCTCTGAGGCCAGCCTGGTCTACAGAGTGGATTCCAGGACAGCCAGAATTAAACAGAGAAACCCTGTCTCAATAAAAAACAAAAAGTTTCCCTTTTAACAACATAGCCACATTCCTAAAATGTTTTTTAGATTCTTTTCTAGTTGTATGTGGGGGGTTTTCCATAATAAGAGTAAATACAACGTATAATCATAGAAAAAATTCTTTCCTGAGGATAGATTTTGTTTTTGAGGCATCATTGCACATATCCCAGGCTGGCTCCTAACTCCCCTTGTTGACAAGCATGGCCTTGAATGTCTGATCATCCACCTCTGGATTGATGGGATTAAGGTATGTGCCACCACACCTAATTTAGGATTTACAGGTGGACAATTATTCAACAGAGGGCTGAGTATTTTTTTAACTTCTAATAATGAAAGGTAGAGTTTGAAGTTCCTCTTGTATTTGAGGGTTCCATATGCCTAAATCCAATTTCACTAACACAGTGTCTTTTCCTCTAATCTTTACTAATTTAATACTGGGAAAATGGTAATTCTCTGCATCAGATCACTAATGAGGGGGAGTAAATTTTATGATATAGCCATTCTCCTTTATGTAAATTGTCCAACACAAAGATTTCTCACACAAAAAGTTCAGCTTCTGGGGTCAGGTACAATTGCACACATCTTTAATCCCAGCAGAGTAGTCAGATCTCAGTGAGGCCAGTCTGGTCTACTTAGTTCATATTTAGTTTGTTGTTTTTAGACAAGGTCTTACTATATATCCCTGCCTGGCCTAGAACTTGCTATGTAGAGCAGGATGGCCTTGAACACAGAAAGATCTGCTTGTCTCTGCGTCCTTGGTCTTAGTGTTGCTTTCTTCTTTGTTTGATCGAGGGTCTCTGTATCCCAGGTTAACCTTGAACTTGATATAGCCCAGGCTAGCCTGGTGTCCATAGACATCCTCCTCCTTTGGCCTCCAGATTGCTGGAATTACAGGATTGAGCCACCACAGCTGGCTCTTGGATGCCTCTTACACAATACTATAAAAGGCTCTTTAGCAGCTAAGCAGATTAAGCAGCAAAAGATACTTCAGATATTAAATTTAATGAGCAAGGCTCAAAGTCTTCTGAGTGGAGGATTAAACCCCAGTGTTGGAAAGCAAGTACCTTTACTGGCCGAGCCATCTCCCCAGTCCCTGTTGCTGTATTCTGGAAGAAACGAGATTATCTATGTAGCGTCCTCTTCCTGTCCTGATACTCTTCTGTACTTACTGATGGTTATCCTACATAACTAATGCTTTTGTCTTAACAGAGGGAGGGTCTTGCATGGGTTCTGCAGCAGAAAGATGAGGGTCAGATGGTGCTGCTGCACATACTTGATATCAGCTGCTCTTTCCCTACTCCAGATGTCAAAGGGGTTGATGTACATCCTGGCCTTTGTTTCAGGGTGTAAAATGCACCTGGGGCTTGCATTTCTTGAAGCAGCTGTAGCTTTGTTGTTATTATTTGAGCCTAAATGAATTTCTTATCTGCAAATATGATGTACATTCTAATCCATGAATAGGCTACTTTATTAAAAGGTTTATATGAGGAGCTAAAGAGATTGCTCAGTGGTTAAGAGCACTTGCTGCTTTTCCAGAGGACCTGAGGTCAGTTCCCAATACCCACACTGAACAACTCCAGGGGATTCCCTCTTTTGGCCTCTGTGGGCACCCACACATGGGACATACATTCACATAGCAGCATATACATACATTGTTTTTGTGTGTGTGAGAGTCTCACTGTGTAGCTCTGACTGGCCTGGAACTTACTAGATAGACCAGGCTGGCCTCAAATTTGACTGCTTCTGTCTCTCCAAGTCCTAGGACTGAAGATGTGTGCCACCATGCCTAGCCTCATACACATACATTTTAAAAAGGGATTATGTGGGGAAACAAAGACAAACCTTGAAAACACCCATTCCCATCTAGACATAAAACAGTCACTATCTTTTTTCAGCAATTGTAAGACACGATTTTACAGTTTAACTTATCCAAAATATGAATATAGCTTAAGATAAGTAGCATGTCAGAGTTTGGTTGTCAGAATTTTTTTCTTAGGGATATATAAATAATGAGTCCTAAAGCTGATGACAAAAACTGGTTGCCTGGCGTGGTGGTGGTGGTGGTGGTGGTGGTGGTGGTGGTGGTGGTGGTGGTGTGGTGCTGCACGCCTTTAATCCCAGCACTCGGGAGGCAGAGCCAGGCAGATTTCTGTGAGTTCAAGGCCAACCTGGGCTACCAAATGAGTTCCAGGAAAGGCGCAAAGCTACACAGAGAAACCCTGTCTCGAAAAACCAAAATAAATATATACATACATATATATGATACTGATGCATTGACTATGCAATGGAACAGTCTAGGACAGGCCCAAAGTGCAGTTTAGAATTCATTATCCACTAAGGTATCAATCTTTTCCTACCAGCATAGAAAATACCTTCAATAAATGTTAAAATTAATGTCTGGCAATTTGGAACAAAAGAACATTGATGCTCTACCTCAAAGTATAAACTAAAATGAACTTCAAGCAGCTCTTAAAATAATTAAACATATATTGGGAGATTTGGGTTTTTGTTTTGTTTTGAGAAAAGTTTCTACATTGTACCTGGGTTAGCTTGGAACTCAACATGTAGCCCAAGCTAGCCTAGAGCTCACCATGTAGCCCAGACTGGCTTTGAACTAGTAGAATCCTCCCATCTCATTCAGCCTCTGGTGCTGGGATTATAGGTAGGTGTTACCATGCCTAGTCGAAAGATTTAGGTTTAGAAGTGTGAAAAGAGCTGGGCAGTGGTGGCGCACACCTTTAATCCCATGTCTCTGGAGAAAAAATAAGAAAGTATGAAAAGCTGAAGGTCCTCAAAATATAATATGTTTGTTTGTTTGATTTTTTTATTTTTTAATTATACTCATGATATTAACTACATTTGTGATACTCATTGATTACATTCCCAGTATTCATTCAATAATTACTGATTTTGCTTTTTGAAACAGGGTTACTCTGTGTGGCTTTGGCTGTCCTGGAACTTGCTCTGCAGATCAGGCTGGCCT